GTGACAAGTTAATTGAAGGTGTGGAGAGTCTATACTTGAGAGAGAGTAGAACCAAGTGTGATCCTAACATTTAAAAGTGTCGGGAAAATTTTGACAAAGAGGTGCATTAGATGTCCTTTGGTTGTGCATGATGCTTCATTGATGGTATGTGTTTATAAAGGTCGGATAAGCCATCTTACCAGTCAATATTTGAGTACTTGAAGCATTCTTGGATGGGGTGTTGGAGGACTGTATTGCCCAAGGGTGAAGACACTTAAAAATTATGATGATTGGGCAAATAATACTTATCGCTTAGCTAGAACTCTTATCGAATCAAGTGTCAAACCTCATCGTAGATTACATCATTCAAAGTGTTTGTAAGGCATGCTTGAGCCAAGTTTTTTGTGAGCATAGGAGGGTTACTGGTCCTTTTGGCTATGTATGAGTGGAGCTTGCAGTATCGAGAAGATCAAAGTCTTGGCCTATCGGATAATGAACTCCATCATAATGAAGAGGGGGGTCAATACAAATATATTTTCTCAAGTGGGAGATTCTCTTTAGGTTGTTGATCTTTTGGTAAGTAGAACTTATATGGTTGTGTGGGCATCAACTAACAACGCTCACGTAGAAGCTGAAGAATCTCATGTTACAACTCCTCTATTATGCACACTTAGTCTTCCAAAGGTGACCTTGGAGTTGTTGACTTCGTGATTATCCCATAGAGTGGTGGGTGTTAGAACGGAGTGCTATGTTATGACAAGTATTGCGTCTGTTGTCATTGTTCAAGTTTTATATGTTCTTTCATTGTGAGATTATCTATCCTATAAATGATGCCAAATTTTTGAATGCTCATACATTTACGACGATCAAGTGATATATTAATGTCTTAGTGTAGCACGAAGATAAGACACATACATAGGTAAAAAGAAATTGACAGAAAAGAAAACATTAATTTTTATGTGGAAAAAAACTAAACAGATAAAAACTATGGGGTTTAGCCCAGTTAAAACAATTCCACTATGTAGATATATGTTGTAATACTTTATCAACCCTTGACTAACCAGAAGCAATATTACATGAGAGGAGGTTATCATCATGACTTTCACTAGATGAGTGATGTAATATAATGTGGAAATGATGAAGACTCGGTTGTTATGAAGGAGGAATGAAGATAGAGGTCGAGTTCAATAATTTTTATGTTAGCGTCGTTGGTAGCGATAGTGGTTTGGTGATGTTTGTATTGATGGTTAAACAACAAAGGTTTTGTGGTGGAGACAATGGTAGTTTGGAGGTGATAGTGATCAGACAATGATGGTTTGATGCGGTGACAATAGCTGATAGTGCCGACAACTTAACAAAAGTGATCAGGTAACAACGGTCCGGTGTCGATAGTGTTAGATTGCAGTTTGAAGACCGAGGAGGGATATCACAATTCTTCAGCTATTCGAACTTATTTTGTTGTGAGAATTGATTAGCACCACCAGGGTTATTTTTATGCTTGCTCTCAAATTTCTCCTTTTGTACATTGATAGCCTCATCTACAGTGACTTATGCTTCCACATGGATAATGAGGTCAGCATAAGAGTGCTTTGTCTCCCACATAATGGCTTGATTAGCATCATCAAGCTTATTTTTACTCTTGCCCCCAAATTGCTCATTGTGTGCATTGATGAAGTATTTTTTAGTAATTTTTTCTTCCACACGGTGAACGAGATTAGCGTAAAGGTGGATTTTCTCCCATATTAGTGGTCAGTGGAAAGGTTCTAGGTGAAGCCCTATAAGAGAAGCCCCCTTAATATTTCAAGATCTACCCTTAGAATCTGATGGACTTCAGTTAAAAATCTCCAAAAATATTCCTCAAGTGATTCTCCTTCATTCTAACAAATTTCTGAAAGATGAGATGAGTCATTGATAATCCTTCAGTTTGTTAATAATTGCTCCACAAAGATTCTGGTCAGTTCATTTGAAGGTGTGGAGAGTCCCTGTAGGGAGAAGAGTGGAACAAAGTGCGAGCATGACCTTTAAACGTGGTAGGAAAATTTTGACAAAGAAGTTAATCAGAAGTCCGTTATATGTGAATCATGGTTCAATCATGTTCACTGTGTTTATAAAGGTCAAATACCCCATCATAGAAGCCGATATTCTGGAGCCTGAAGCCATTTGGAATGAGGTGTTGGAGGACTGTCTCAGCCAAGGGCAAAGAATCTTAATAATTATGATGATTGGGAAAACAATTCATATCTCTTAGATGGAACTCTTCTCGAATTAGACACCATACCTCATTGCAAATTGCATCATTAGGAGCGTTAGTAAGGAGTGGTTGAGCTAAGTTTTTTGTGAGCGTTGAAGGGTTACTGATATGCTTAAGTACGCAAGATGAGTGAGTGGAACTTACAATATCAAGGAGATCATTGTCCTAGTTTCTCAGAGGATGAATCCCATCATAATAGGGAGGGGGGCCAAGAAGAGTATTTTCGAGTGGGGGATATTCTACATCCTACTGACCTTGTTACAAGTAGACCTTATTTGGTTGTGTGGACATCAATTTTCGACTCTCATGTTAGAACTAAAGATTCTCATATTGAGAATCCCGCATTATGTGCACTCGGTCTTCCAAAGATGAGCTTTAGGCACCTTAGTAGTAGGATAAAACCTTTTATAGAGAGAAAAAAGCATATGCTTGATGTCCCTACCTCAATTATTGTCCCATGGAGTGGTAAGCATTAGATTGGGATGTTCCATTGTTACAAGTATTTTGCCTATTGGTCATTTTACAAGTTTTATTAATGCTTTGATGGTGAGATTATATTTCCCACAAATGACATCAAATTATAGCATGTTTGTAAATTCATAATAGCTGAGTGATATATTAACGTCTTAGTGTGGTTCGAAGATCTGACACACACATGTGTAAAAAGAAATTGATAAAAAAAAACACGAGTTTTTACCGACCCTTGACTAGCCGGAAGCATGTTATTGAAGCGACTTATGCTACAAAGGTGGTGGAATAAATTAGGACTTTCTTGTCCAAAACAAATAAATTTTTGTTTATTCATAACTGAATCGTTTAAATCGAATTAAAATTTAATTTGGCTTTATCAAAATTTTTGGTTGGTTTGACTTTCAGATTTCAGATTCATTTTCAATCGATCTGGCTAATTTGCAAATCAATCCATCCGAGCATATTGAATGCTTATCCCTAGTCAAAAGAATATTTAATTACAACTAATATCTCCCAAATGAAAACATTTAAATTTCAAAATTATTCGTGACTAAATTTTTAAAACCGAATTAAATTTTAGTTCGGTCGGTTCAGTTTTATCAAAATTTTTATTGATTTGATTTTTTCAATTTTTAAATTTCAGTTGTAATCGATTTGATTAATATGCAAATAGATAAATCCAAACTAACCAACCTAATGCTCACCCTTACTCAAAAGAATATTTAATTATAACAGACAACTTCTAAATGAAGTATTTATCCATTTTGTTTGGCATAAGGTTATTACGAAAAATTTTATTGTATAGCATGACACTCAAAAAAATTTAGTTAGATATAAGATTTAATCTTATTGATTAGTTATTATAAAAAAAAATATATAAGCTATATATATCTTTATAAATTAATATAATTATTTTTATATGACACCCAATGTATGATCAAAGTATGGTTGAATCGGATTTGACGGCCCTGAATGGGACAAATGTCGAAGAATCAACCTCGATGAGTGCAAAGAGCCACCTATCAAAGCGAAATATCCAGCAGACCGGACAAAGAAGGCTAATCAAATAATAATACAAATGAATCACCAACTTTGGAGCAAGCAAAAAGACGATCCAATAGGCAAGGATTCGATCATAGTAATGATAATCATGATAGTTGCAGCGACCGACCATTAGCAGAGAATTTCAAAAGCATTATCAACATTTTAGAGTGTAGCTTCTATTTGCTATAAAAATAAGAACAATAAAAAATTAAAGGAACCTTCTTTTGGGAAAAAAAAATTAACACTTATTCATGGTTTCATGTATCACTCTCTCCTTCCTATACTCTATTCATTTGGTATGATCTACAAACAAATTTAGGGTTCATCGGCCTAAATGTTTATATTTATTTATATGACACTATAATTTTAAAATTGTATAAAATTTTATTAAAAATAATTTATAAAATATAAAATATATTTTATCATGTATATGTTTTATTTTAAAATATTATTTAAATGAATATAACTATTTAAATATTGAATATGAAATTTTCTTAAAATTTTGTGATATCAACTACTATTCAACAAAAATAATATCTCTATATTTTATTTACAGACAATAAAATACATGTTTAAAATATATACATTGTTTTTACTTTATTTTATATTATTTGTGCAAACAAGTCGAGCAAACCCCGAGCCACCCTCAACTTGGGCAGGAACATAAATTCGAGCTCAAGCTCGAACTTAATTATGTGAGTCAGAACCGGTCGATACATGTTTAAAATATATACATTGTTTTTACTTTATTTAATATTATTTGTGCAAAATTTTATATTATTTGTGCAAACAAGTCGAGCAAACCCCGAGCCACCCTCAACTTGGGCAGGAACATAAATTCGAGCTCAAGCTCGAACTTAATTATGTGAGTCAGAACCACCTCAGTAGCCAACTTTTTGTTATGAAAGAGTGGAAATAATATTAATTCAAACTAATTTTATGTTAAAATGACAAATAAAATAAATATTTTAGAAGCAACTAATAAGAATCCACTTAATATAAAATATAAAATATAATTTTTTTAAATATATTTAATAAATAAAATATCAAATATTAAATTTTGATATATTTAAGTATATTTTATATTAATTATTTTTAAATAAGTCAGCTCATAAGGTAAAACCAGGTCAAGCTAATTAGCTTATTAACTCATCAAAAATTATGATCTACTTGTCTTCATGCATGCGGCACCAATTGTACACAAGATATGTAATATTCTCTCGCCACGCATCTAACCAAAACAAAATTTCCCCTTTAAGCCTGCCAAACTGAATCTTCAGCTCTAATCGACTTACCAATTACATCCCACCATCCACCTCCAGAATACTGCTCCAAAATCCTCTGATCCATCCATAATGACTCCGCCCACCAATCCTACCCGCCGCCTCCATGCTCTAATCCACCAGTTCGGCCACCACAACCCAAAAAGCCGCCAACTTTCCGGCGAACCGTCCGCCAAGGATGATGAATGCAAAGCTTTCTCCTTGTCCGAGCGCTTTCATTCTAAAAGAGCGGCTGTTCTGGTCTGCCTATTTGAGGGCGCAAAGGGAGACATCAGAGTTATTCTCACCAAGCGCTCCTCAAAACTCTCAACTCACTCTGGTTCCTTATGCAGCTCCGGCCAACTTGTCTCAAAAGGAAGATCTTTTGGTGTTTTTTGATTGATTTAGGCGTCCGGTGGGCTTTTTTTTGTTGTTGCAGGGGAGGTGTCGTTGCCGGGGGGGATGGTGGAGGCAGGGGATGCGGGCTACAGGGAAACTGCTGTCAGAGAGGCGAAGGAGGAGATCGGTCTTGATCCCTCTCTGGTGGCTGTTGTGGCAATTCTCCAACCCTTCCTCTCCCAGGTGCGTTTACCAGTCGCTGATGTTCCTTTCTGTGAAAATTGGATTTAGTGTAGCTTGGCCTTAGAGAAAATATTATATAGTTTAGTTTTTGTTTTGGGCCTCTTATCTAATGATGGGACGTCACGTGACAAGCAGGTCCCATCATTTTTAGAGTTCAATTTGACACATGGCAACCCACCATTAGACTTTAGACACAAATTATAACCGGAGTCCGGATGTAATATTTTCTTCGTTTACAGACATGCCACATAATTCCAACCTAAAATTTAACTTTTAAACCAATTGGTGCACTTTGCGAGGAGAGGCAGAATCACGTAATGTTCAGAGCGACGTTTTTGAAATTTATGATTTCTATATATAAGTAATAAAATTTTATATTTTTATATAGTATAAGTAATTTCGTAATTTTCCACAGCTTAATATTATTTTTGCCCCGTGCATATAAAAAATTAAATATTTGATGATTTTGTCAAGCCTACAAATAAGACTGGTTTCACCTTATATTTGTGTGCACTGTGTCATTGGAATATATTTATCATACAATTTTTTTTTTTTTTGAAATACAATGATGAATTATCTTGATTTAATTTCTCACCAAAAATGACATAATTTAGATAAGTATATTTAGGTAAATTACACCTATATATTGTACAAGCACTCACATTCTCCCTATCTCTACCTCTCCTTCCAAAAATCAAAACTCTAACCCTTTCCACTCTTCTTTCACTCCCTCTTCTCCCACCAAACCAAAATTTTTTACCTTCTCAAACCCTCACCCTTAACATACCTCTCTCTCCCTCTTCTCCCACTAAACTAAAACCCTCACCCTTAACATACCTATCTCTCCCTCTCTCCCTCTTCTCCCACTAAACTAAAACCCTCACCCTTAACATACCTCTCTCTCCGTCTTCTCCCACCAAATCGAAACCTTAATCTCCCCACAGTCACCCACTCTTTCTTACCCAAATCCTGGGTCTTTCCCCATACACACTTCCTCTATTTCCCACCATCCAAACCTCCCCTCTCTCTCTTCGTCACCACCTTACCCAAAACACTAACCCGAGCTCTCTTTCTCTCTCCCTCACTACCTTACCTGAAACTCTAACCTAATCCTCCACACTCCCTGATTACCTTACCGAAACCTTAAGGGTCTATTTGGAGTGGTTGCAGCTTTTTAACAAGATGGTTATAAAGTTGTTGTTGAGAAATCAACTTCTGAGAAAGCTGCAACGAGAATCGTGAAAATATATTTTCTTCCAAAAAATTAAACAATAACTTTCTCATAGCCGCCACACTTTAACATGTAAATTTGAAAAAAAATACTTCCCATCACAAAAAATTCTATAAAACAGCAAGAAAATAGTTTTCCAAACATGGTGATGATATGAACACAAAATATACAAACAGCTGTCTCAAACAAATCCAAGTACATGTTATCTATATATCTCACGACAATTCAAATATGAACAAAGTTACTATAAACACAAGATAAATTGAATTATCTTGGACTTTTGTATTTGGATTAAGATGTTACATAGATCACTCCATTGTTTGGTTCATTATCTCTCCATACTCCCATGTGTGCTATATATATATATATATATATATATATATATCCAAA